TTTATTTCTTGCCATTAAAGCTGCCAAGTCAGCCTCTGTTTTACGGCATGCAGACGAAGCAGTAGAAGTTGCAGATTTTTCCCCCAAAGCAGAATTTTGTGAGCGTGTTGCTCTTCTTCCGATTTCCACGTTTGACACACTGTCACTTGGTTGTACATCCTCTTGCATGTCATCTGTAGTTGGAATATCCAGCACAGCAGCAGTTATTGTGGTAAAATCCTCTTGTGGCTCTTTTAACCACTGTTTAATGTCCCTCTGAAAGCTTTCACTGTATTCCAAGATACTGGCAAACCATTCCTCTTGTTTCTTCAGTTCATCCTCTGGGAGTAAAGGAATCAACATTTCATGTGAAATAATGGCTTTTTCACCCAGTTGAATTAATTTCTCTAATGAGTTTGCACACGTGAGGCATTTCCCCTTTCTCTCATGTGTCCTTTTATTTCTGCTATGAGTGCTTTTATTTTGTTCACACTGGTTTTACGTTCCCGTTGAAGTTTGTCGATGTTATTTACCAATGCCTTCGCAGTGAGTGTGCGTTCTCTTTTCCCATAGTCCATTTCAACACCTTCAACGTCAACATTTATTTGACTCATTTTCTCCGTCAGTTTATTCAAGCTTCCTCAGTGCATTCGTCTGATTGCAACACACTCGAAGATCGGAAGACAATTCCTTCAAAGCATCACATTTCTATATGGCCACATCAACAGAGCAGCGCGACTTCCATGCGGCAGAGCGGAGTTATACAGTGGAGACACACAGCTGTGAATATGTGCACATTCAGCGGTAAGGCTTACCTGGCTGTGATCCGCGTTGAATGCAAACTGCAGTCTCTATTAACAGCCAGTGTTTACCTCAGTGAATTATTTCCATATCTCCATTCTCATCCAATAGATCCTTAATCCATGTGTAACCATCCAGATTGATAAAAACAACATAAATATGTCAAGGAAATAAAAAATTGCATTTATTTTGCAAGCCTATAGAAATTCAAACTAAAAGGTACATTGATTTTATAATAATCCACATTATATTATTGTGTGTATTGAGTTTATGCAAAGTTTATTTAATTAATGTTATTTATTTCCTTTTTCGTTTGACAAGGTAACATCTTTTTAAATATTTGGAATTTGTATTTATTTGTATTTTTGTATTTAAGTACGATAATCCATAGTTTTACATTTATAGGCCTGTAAATGTATTTCATTTTCTTAATTCAAAGAGTTAGCAGTAACCTTCTTAGTATGACTGCTTTGTTTACACAGAGAGAGTTAAAGCCTTCTTCTGGCAGATCCATTGTTGTGGTTTATCACAGCTCACTGATGACCATATGTCTCTGCCCTTGTAAAACACTGCACAGTGACCGTCAACAGGAGTGTTCTGTTTAGTCTTTATTTAATGGTATAGCCTTGAAATAAAGGAGTTTTTTGTCACTTTAATCTGCATTTGGGTCCTGCATCCTACACACACCGTAACTTTACGAACCGACCTGAGATATGGGCCCAGCAGTTCCGTTTGAGCAGGAACTATTGGATTTTACCTTTTCTTTGTCTGTCTGCGCTCATCGATGGATAGGAGCGGTCAGGGTTCAGCAGCGAGAGGCTGCTATGGCTGAGGCACACCAGATGGCTATGGAGGAGCCAGGGGTAGTGAAGTTCTTACCTGGCTGGATTTTCGACTTCCTCTCGGTGTGTGATTCCCGGCCTGCTAGCCCCAGGCATGCTAGCACCCTGCCTCACAACTCCCAACCTAGCAGCCCGAGCCCCGGAGGCCATGTTTTGGGCTCCAGTACAGGCCCCAGCAGCCATGGTTCCAGCCCCAGTTCTGGCCCCAGCAGCCATGGTTCCGGCCCCTGTTCTGGCCCCAGCAGCCATGGTTCCAGACCCAGTTCTGGCCCCAGCAGCCATGGTTCCAGCCCCAGTTCCGGGTCCAGCAGCTGTGGTTCCGGCCCCAGTTCCGGCCTCAGCAGCCATGGTTCCGGCTTCAATTCCGGCTCCAAAACCGGCCCACACAGCCATGATCCAGGCTTCAGCTACGGACCTTACAGCCATATTTCCGGCTCCAGAACTGGATCTTACAGCCATGTTTCCGGCTCCAAAACCGGCCCATGCAGCCATGGTTCTGGCTCAAGTCCCGGGCCCAGCAGCCATGGTTCCGGCCCCAGTTCCAGCCATGGTTCCGGCTCAAGTACCGGCCCCAGCAGTCATGGTCCCGACTCCGGCTCCTCGTTACCTGTTGACTTATCGGCCGACGCCAGATCCCCGAGTCCTGTCGGCATACCGGCCGACTCCAGCACCTCGTCTCCTGCTGGCTCTCCAGCCGACGCCAGCTCCCCGTGTCCTGTCGGCGTACTGGCCGACTCCAGCACCTCGTCTCCTGCTGGCTCTCCAGCCGACGCCAACTCCCCGTGTCCTGTCGGCGTACCGGCCGACTCCAGCACCTCGTCTCCTGTTGGCTCTCCAGCCATCACCAGCTCCCCGAGTCTTGTCGGCGTACCGGCCGACTCCAGCACCTCGTCTCTTGTTGGCTCTCCAGCCAACGCCAGCTCCCCGTGTCCTGTCGGCGTACCGACCGACACAAGTTCCCTCTCAAGTCCCCTCTCCAGTTCCTACCCGAGTCCCCTCTCAAGTTCCTACCCGAGTCCCCTCTCAAGTTTCCTTTCAAGTCCCCTCTCGAATTCCCTCTCAAGTTCCCTCTCGAGTCTCCTCTCGAGTTCCCTCTCAAGTCCCCTCTCGAGTTCCCTCTCAAGTCTCCTCTCCAGTTCCTTCTTGAGTCCCCTCTCGAGTCTCCTCTCTAGTCACCTTTCAAGTTCCCTCTCAAGTCCCCTCTCGAGTCCCCTCTCGAGTTCCCTATCGAGTCCCCTCTCTAGTCACCTTTCAAGTTCCCTCTCGAGTCCCCTCTCGAGGCCCCTCGCAAGTTCCCTCTCGAGTCTCCTCTCGAGTTCCCTCTCAAGTCTCCTCTCCAGTTCCTTCTCAAGTCCCCTCTCGAGTCTCCTCTCGAGTTCCCTCTCGAGTCCCCTCTCGAGTTCCCTATCGAGTCCCCTCTCTAGTCACCTTTCGAGTCCCCGCTCTAGTCACCTTTCAAGTTCCCTCTCAAGTCCCCTCTCGAGTCTCCTCTCGAGTCTCCTCTCGAGTCTCCTCTCGAGCTCCCTTTCTAGTCACCTCTCAAGTTCCCTCTCAAGTCCCCTCTCGAGTCTCCTCTCGAGTTCCCTCTCGAAATTCCTCTCAAGTCACCTCTCAAGTTCCCTCTCAAGTCACCTCTCGAGTCTCCGTTCAAGTTCCCTCTCGAGATCCCTTTCAAGTCACCTCTCAAGTCAACTCTCAAGTTTCCTCTCGAGTTCCCTCTCAAGCCCTCTCTCGAGTTCCCACTCAAGTCCCTACTCATATGCCGTTGGAGGTCCCGCAGACTACTCTTTTGCCGGGGGTTCTGCCAACCCCATGTCCTGAGCCGTTGGAGGTCCCGCAGACTACTCTTCTGCCGGGGTCCTGTACCGTTGGAGTTTCTGTTGGGGGTCCTGCCAACCCTTTGTCCTGTCCCGTTGGGGGCCCCGCCGACTACTCTTCTGCCGGGGGTCCTACCAACCCTAAGTCCTGTGCCGTTGGAGGCCCCGCCGACTACTCTCCTGCCGGGGGTCCTGCCAACCCTAAGTCCTGTGCCGTTGGAGGTCCCGCAGACTGCTCTTCTGCCGGGGGTCCTGCCAACCCTATGTCCTGTACCGTTGGAGGTTCCGCTGGGGGTCCTGCCAACCCTTTGTCCTGTCCCGTTGGGGGTCCCGCCGACTACTCTCCTGCCGGGGGTCCTGCCAACCCTATGTCCTGTCAAGTTGGGGGTCGCACAGACTACTCTCCTGCCGGGGTCCTGCCAACACTATGTCCTGTCCCGTTGGGGGTCCCGCCGACTACTCTCCTGCCGGGGGTCCTGCCAACCCTATGTCCTGTCCCGTTGGAGGTCCCGCCGATTACTCTTCTGCCGGGGGTCCTGCCAACCCTAAGTCCTGTGCCGTTGGAGGCCCCGCCGACTACTCTTCTGCCGGGGGTCCTGCCAATCCCTTGTCCTGTTCCGTTGGAGGTCCCGCCGACTACTCTTCTATCGGGGGTCCTGCCAACTCTATGTCCCGTGCCTTTGGAGGTTCCGCTGGGGATCCTGCCAGCTCTATGTCCAGTCCAGTTGGAGGCCCCGCCATCACCTGTCCTGCCGGGGGTACTGCCAACCCCTTGTCCAGTTCCGTTGGAGGCCCCGCCATCATCTGTCTCGCCGGGGGTGCTGCCAACTCCTGGTCCTCTTCCGTGGGGGATCCTGCCGAAGCCGGTCCTACCGGCTCCGGTTCCTGTTCGGCCGACACCGGGTCCTGCCCGGCCTCTGGAGCTGTTTGGCCTTCGCCCCACCCTGAACTCTGCCTTGCCCCCGGGCCGTTCGCCCGAGTCCCCCTTTTTGAACTCTGCCTTGCCCCCGGGCCGTCCGCCCGAGTCCCCCTTTTTGAACTCTGCCTTGCCCCCGGGCCGTCCGCCCGAGACCCCTTCCGGGTCCTCCGCTGTTAGCCCAAGCCCGTCCTCCAGACCCCCTCCACCCACCCTGTTGGCCTTAGGTTTGTGCGGTCATGTAGAATAAGGCATTAATAAGTGTTTTATAATGACTAATAAAGAGCCAATATACTGCTAATATACATGTTGATGATGAATTTGTGTTATTTTTGTGCGTTACTGATTTGTGAGGAAATAAATACAACACTGTGTGACAGCAATTGTATTTAACATCATAGACTCAAACAAGAATTAGCTTCTAGATAAATCACACATATAACTCTCATCTCTACATATTAAAATGTATGACATCACAATACAAATGCTTAAGAAAACAGCTCTGAGCTAATTATGTTAAAACCAAAGATATTGGCCCACATAAAGCAGCATTTAAAACAAATTATGTTCTATATACTGATTTGATCAATGAGGTTACTGCATCTCTGAAAAAGTCAAAGAAAAACATATGTAAGAGTAAGTAGACTGCAGTGTTTAAACAGATAGAGCTTTCTTCTGGCAGATCCATTGTTGTTTCTGATCACAGCTCATTGATAACCATGTTTGTATGCGCAAGACAGAGATTGCACAGTGACCCTCAGTAGGTGGGTCTACCCAGGAGCTGAGGGAAAAACAGGAAGTTTAGATCAAGGCTAAACGATTGTTATGATTCAAAATGTTTAGTAAGGTGTCTCTTACCTATTAGTCAGATCACTTCCATCTTCCCACTTCCATTTCCCGTCTTTAACTCTCAGGCCAATCCAGCTTCCATCAGTTGATATACTGTAATAATTGATGATGTTCTGACAACATAGAAACAGTCATCAGGTATTTAAATACAATACTCAAATCAACATGTTATGACATAGATGTATAGGTATGGAATGTAGATAGATAGATAGATAGATAGATACTTTTTCATTACATAATTGTGTTACCTTTTCAGTTAGATTATGTGCTGCAGCCAGATCTGCATTAAGCGCTCTGCAGTATTCTCGAGCTTCTTCCCAGGTTAACCGCTCTGTAGGCCCAACATCATTGAACGAATAGCAGCTAGGCTCACGGTATCTCCAGTTCATCTCACAAGGTCGACACTCTTTCACTGAAACAACAGAGACCAACCCATCATCCACATGACTGCTTTGTAATTGTGATCATTATTATTTATTTGTTGGGATATATATTTGTTAAATGGCAAAAAATAAAGCTCATTTTAACAACAAGGCACTTTAAAGTACTGTTAAAAATAATTAACTGAGTAAACCATAATGCAAACACAAACACATTATATAATGACATTTAAACTGATATCAATCGATAACAAGTTTTAATCACGATATTCACTAAAACGACTAATCACGATTAACCACAAGTTAAAACTTCTAGTATTTACTTGTATTTTGGAGGTTAATAAAACAAATACATGTGTGGTGCAGCGGCGTAGCTGTGGGTGGGCCCGCACCCACATGCACGTCTGGCCCACCCACAGCCAATCAGCGCTTCATAGCGCAGAGCCGGGAAGCCCAGAAGGAAGTTCCACAAACTGCAGTTCATCTAGTGGCCGACAGGGGATGGATGCAAAAAGGAGCAATTCCCATAGACCCCCATGTTAAAATGCCCAACTTTACAGCAGAAATAAACATGTTTCTAGCCTGGATCCAATAAAACGTATTCTGGATATAGTTAGATTCCACCTTCATGACAATGGAATAAGGAGTGCATTTTTTTACCGTGAGTTTTTATAGTAAGTAAAGTAACTTTTGCCGTGAGTGAATGAAAGTATTATTTCTTCTTGAGGTCTGCAGTTTAGCGTGTACACATTTGCTGAATATGAAAACACTCAGTGTGTGCCCACTGTGCGACTGTCAAGGATAAACAACCTGTGCCCCCGATATATGTTGTATGTATTATTGCTACACCCAACATTACATTGCAGTTTAAGTATCGCCAACTCCGTTTAAGAGATATCTCTCCCGTCTGTGTGCGAGGGGGCGGGGCAGTTTACACACACGCAGCTGCTACATACAGCAACACACACACACACACACGGAGGAGATGGCAGAGAGAACGCGCTCCGAGGTGTGGTTAAACTATAGCCGTGTCGATGTGGACAATACTCGTTACCAAAAGTGGAATAAGCGTTTAGTATGTAAGGGCGGTAACACGAGCAATTTGTCTAAACATTTAACAAAAGTGCTCCACATGCACACGGAGGAATGCACCGGGTTCGTCTGTCTTTCTAGCAGCTCTGTAGCTCCATCCACGAGTAACGTTTCCACGTCAGGTGTTCTGTATGCTAGCAGCAACACACCGAGTTAACTACATTATTCAAACATGGGTTAATGATTAGAGGAAACTGAGTTATTTATTTAGTTAAAGTTTCAGCTATTCTTTTACAATTCTGTCATCACATTATTTAATACGATTTGTTAAAACGTTGTTTCTTTTGATGTGAAATATTATGTATTTAATTATATAAAAAGCAATGTTAGTTTTGTTCACAATTTGTTTAGTTTATTTTTTTTCTCCAAAAGAACCGATAAAAGTAATGTTAAAGGACCGGATCGATAAGACAGACATACTTTATTGCCATTTCAACAAGACACAGAGTGTACTATTAAAACGAAATATCGCTGTACTGGCTTACAGGAACAGGACAATATAAAAACTTGCTAAAATTGTACATATAAATAAATAATAGTGACGTGGTGCTGATAAAATTAAAGATAAAGTGTGCGTTTAAAATATAAAAATGTACTATACCTATAAATAAAATAGACATACTATATAACAAATATGTGCTCTTTACACAGCGTAATGTAATCTCTGTGTTACTGGTCTACTTGCAGTTCAGCAGTCTGATGGCATGGGGGAAAAAGCTATTGCAGAATCTGGCTGTTCTGCTCTTAATGCTGCGGAACCTCTTGCTGGAGGGCAGCAGGGAGAACAGAGCATGGTGAGGATGAGGGGGGTCTTTAAACATGTTCTGGGCTTTTGTCAGGCAGCGTTTCTGAGCGGTGTCTCTGATGGGAGGGAGAGACACTCCGATGATCTTCTCTGCTGTCCTAACCACTCTCTGCAGAGACTTCCAGTCTTTGGCGTTGCAGTCTCTCGACCAGATGGAGATGCCGCTGGTCAGCACGCTCTCTATGGTTCCTCTGTAGAACGTGGTGAGGATGGGAGGGGGGAGCTGTGCAGGAAGAGTGGACCAGGTCAGACTGCTTGTGATATGCACCCCCAGGAACTTGGTGCTGTCTGTAGTCTTCACTGCTGTGCCGTTGATGTGGAGTGGTGGGTGACAGTGCTTTTTGTTCCTGAAGTCGACAATGATCTCTTTTGTTTTATCGACATTCAGGATCAGGTTGTTGGTGTTACACCAGTCTGTCAGATGTTTCACCTCCTCCCTGTAGGCCTGTTCGTTGTTGTCCCTGATGAGTCCCACCACTGTTGTATCGTCCGCGTACTTTATGATGTGGTTGGTACTGAACCTGGAGCTAAGCATGCGCGCTATCGATAAAAGTAGTAGTACCGTTAAAGCCTTAACGATACCCATCCCTATGTGGATGTCAGTTTTACACACATTCTGAGGCCGCCGTGCCTATGTTTTTGTTTTCACTGCTAATTTATGCTTATGTTCTATTAGTGCATTAAAAAATCATTAAAATCATTAATGAAGTTTCAGCTCAGACCCCACGCTTAATATGTCTCCCCCTGGCCCACCTACATTTCTCCAGGCCCACCCACACAATAATTCCTGGCTACGCCACTGGTGTGGTGTTGTAAAGAAATGTCTTTAGAGAAATCAGAGGGTTTAACGCGCGATACCCATATGCTCGTATGGTAGTATACTGCCATACAGTTCTCATATTGCAAGCACTAAGAATTTGATCTGTTTCTACAGTGGTCACCCTGTATCTCTGTGCAATGATTCAGTGAATGCCTTTCCTCTGTTTTCACCACACAGAGTTCTGTCAGGAAGACAAGGTCACATTTAGTAACGTGAGATATTTGCATATTGTTTTACAATAGATATTGTCAAGCTTATTTATCCTCGTTGATGGTTCCTGAACATACCTTCACCCTCTTTGCAGTACTCATTGATGCTCCACTGAGCTCGACTGACGTTGAGCTCATTCCAGTTCGTCTCCATTTCTTGTATTTGCGTTGTCAAGCCATCCTTCTGTGATGTCAGCGTCTTGATTTCTGCATTCAGGTCTTTCACGTTGCTTTCTGAGACAGTCCAGGCTTGTGTCAGGTTGTCACAGCTGACCGTGAGATTCTCCCGTGTCTGCAGCTCCTGGATTCTTGATGTCAGCGTCTTGATTTCTGCAGTCTGCTTGGCGTTGTCTTCAGAAAGTTCAGAGGTCACAACAGAGACAGACAGAGGAGGTGTTTCTGTTTAAATGTTCTTAATAGATATTGAAGAATGGGTTCACATGTTTGAATCCATCTTGAATCAATAGTAAAGTTATCATATGAACACGTGAACAACTGCCTCGTTTAGTGCAACATTATATTCTATACTATGGGACGTTCTGCAGTCTACAGTGCGTTTGTTAACTCAAGTACTTGAAATATCAAACACTGAAATACCTCTTTGCACAGAGCCAGCTTGAACATCAGGAAGGATAAGTCACGGAGCTTACTGAAGAACAGGAACAACTTTAAACTGCGGCTTTTTGCACAATTAGCAAAACAAGCAAACACCTTCACACACGCTTCACTTTCATGCCACATGGCAGCTTCCTATTGCAACATGTGTGGCAGCGAACGAGAGGGGAGATGTTGGATCGACACACAGAGTTACAGAGCTTCAGGTCACATCTAATACAAACTGTTGAACTGACATTCACACAGAAGATACTCACAGTAGATACGGAGACCCATGATGGCTAACAGTATGATCCAACACACTGCTATCGGAAGAACAAACCTCAAGCCTGAAAAACAAGCATTCTGTTAAAAAACCTAAACAAAGGTTTCGAAGGTTTTAAAGTCATATACACAGATACAGTTTAGTCTAAAAACTGAGGTCGCAAGTTGGTTAAAACATGCAATATATAAACATATAAAATACTTAAAACAGTGCAAATCAATACACATAGTGCAAGCTCAGGAGTTTAGCAGTCTTATGGCCTAAAATGATTTAACAGGCAGGGCTTCTCAAACTGGCATTGATCCGGACCATTGACCTTGTATAAAATTCACAAGGGGACCTTTAACAAAAAAGTTTGAGTACCCCTGCTTTCAATACATTATAAACACACCACGAAAATAGCTAAACCATTTCAACCTTTGTCACTATCTCACTGTTTTACCTTCATGTTTGTTTTAAACGTGTGAACAGTATTAAATAGTGAAATGTGTTGATCATGCACCTGGAGGGGATGCCTTTGTATCCACGGTGCCTTCTGGTGCAGATCCTTTTTTGGTGTCGTCTGAAAAATAAAGACATAATGTGTTTTTATGAAGTTTATCAGAATCAGAAACAGTTTATTACCAGGTAGGTTAACATAGGGGGAATTTTAATAACATTTCATATGGTTATAATCATATGAATAGAATTGTAATAAATGATGTGCAGTAATGAAAAACAAGACATTATTATTATCATTAAGTATGCATTGTGTGCATTGATGTGAATTTAACTCCCAATATGATCAAACTTCAAAAACCATTGGACAAAAGATGGATTGTATAATGGCTATCAGCAAACACACTGCTATTGGTGGAAAATGCATTGAATAAAAGCGGCCTCTGGACTGAGTAACGTAACTGAACATGAATTAACAGTTAATATAAAATAAAAAGAGCTGATTTAATATTCACATGTTTAACCTTCATCACTATTTTATTTAAATAATATGACTGTTGAATAAATCTCATGGTTGCTTGTGTTCACAGCTCACCTGGACGCGGTGCCTTTTTATCCGCAGGGCCTTCTGGTGCATTCACATAGTCAGCTTCTCCTGTGATTTCCTCTGGAAGATAAACACATACTGTTTCATCAGATATGCAGCTTCCCTCCCATTATGTTCAGCACGCATGAGGAACCATTTCACTAAAGGATGAAGTTTATAATCAAACTCAACGATGTTAAATCAGTTGCTGTCACGCAAAGCATCAGGAGCAGGAAAGCAGAACTAAAAACACACGGAGAAGTGTATCGTGCTGACTTTTTAAAACGAGATTAAAGACCAATTAGACAAACTCAAATCTTATAAATAAAACATTTGTTCATGTTATTGTTAAAAATGAAGCACATTTAGTATTTAGTACAATAGTTCATCATGTGTGGTTAACATATTGATAAACTTCAAGCTTCTTCCTAATTCACTCTCCAAAAATGATGTCTCTATGTTCAGCAGAGCTGATCAATTACAATTTTAAAGATTCAATCTTATATCAATTTGGATATTTAAAATAATGTGCTGCTAGGGAGTGGTCTAGCCTCAAAAGCAACTTACGTATATATAGTCATACAAGGAAAACATGTTGGTCTTTACCAACATGTTTTCCTTGTATGACTATATATACAAAGAAAAACATATCATAGGTTATATCTTAGACACACACACACACACACACACACACACACACACACACACACACACACACACACACACACACACACACACACACACACACACACACACACACACACCACACACACACACACACACACACACACACACACACACACTCTGGAATATTCTTTAATTACCCATATCCTCGATTATGTTTCCTTTGGTCCTGAACAAAGTCCTGCTGCAGTCCTGATGAGAGCGTCTCTCTGATGTGACGGTTCAGTCGACTTCTGCTTCGAGGTGGAGATGGCATCTTTTTAATCTCCTGTTCTCATGTCATGTTGATACTTCCCAAATAGTCTCAACCGGAACTTGAAAACGTGCGGCCCTTTCACCGGGTTTTAATAGAGTCACACGTCCAACATATTTGATTTCCTAATATAATCATATTAACTGCAATTTGGATCTCCATGGATTTCTAGGCCCCAAAAACGTATGTTTAGTCACCAAAATGCTCTCAATGCCTCTTCCTGTCCCTCTCTGGAACTCTGCTAGAGACTAAATATTGATTTACTTTTGGTTCATTTCAAAACATGTTACATCATCGTGAATAAGATTGTTTCTCCTGACTATTATAAGTCTGTAGAGACTATACAGACTTGGCTACAATGGTCAAAATCAGTTTAGTAGTGTTCATAGAGCTGTTGTGGAGGATATCATGAAGCCTTGTTCTGATCAAAACTAGAGGTAGTTATTATATAATGTTAACTTGAAAAGGGTCAAAGGAGACCTGAACACAACATAAGGGTTAGAGCATATGTGTCAAACTCAAGGCCCGGGGGCCAAATCCGGCCCGTGTTGGATTTAATTTCGGCCCGCAGGATAACTTCTAATTCCTATTAGATCTGGCCCTCCGGTATATTGCAGCACACCTTCACTCCATCCTGAGGGTCTCCTCAGCTCAGAGCCTGAGCCCAAACATTGATGACCTTGCACCCGGGATGAGATGCCAAGTATCTGAACTAGCATCACAGAGCAGCACACTGAGTTCAATGGATGCTTCCTTCTGCACTTTCTCTCTCAGGACAACAGGGCATGTTTGGTTTGTTCTTTGAGGGGAATAGTTTTGTTGAAGCTGTTGTTGGCCTGTGGGGAATGTACTCATAAGAAATGACTCTGGAAAAGCTGCAGATAGAGCCATATGAAATGAATGCTACTGATTATTTAATGTTTAATGTTGTTTTATAGGCAATAATTTAAGCTTTGTTAGTTCCAGGTTTAATATGTGCAATAAGTTCATTTCAATAAGTTCTGCAATAAACATTGAACCAGTCCGGCCCTCGACTAGTACCCATTTTTAAATGTTGGCCCACTGTGTATTTGAGTTTGACCCCCGTGGGTTAAAGGAGACCTGAACACAACATAAGGGTTAGAGGAACTGAGCAGCATTGATGGACACTGATGCATCGATGAGTTTAAACACTATTATCTCATCTTATCATCATACATACATCTTACTTAGTGTTTGAACTTCTTTTGGCCAATCCACCTCCACTTCCTGTCCCTCTCTGGAACTCTGCTGGTGCTGATGTTGACAGAGTGACTGAATATTGAGGCCTGATCTCCTTCTATCTTATTCTCATCCAAATGGTCGCACCATGAATAAGATTGTTTCTCCAGACTTGATTAAAGCACTGATGTTTTCAAGAGAAACACAAAAACAACAATGTGTGGCAGCACATTTATTCACTGGTGACAACAGAGTGAAACAAGACATTGCTCATAGACACAAATACAGATAGATACAAATCATCCATAAACTGTGCGTCATCAGAATAGCATCAGGGACAGTTTCATCCCACTGGCCATCAGACTATTAAACACCTGAGCTTGCACTATTTCTATTTGTATAGTTGTTTTTTATATGTATTTCTTACGTCTTGTTAATTGCACTGTTAAGGAACCTGAGATCACATGTTTTATACATTACATAATCACACCGTAGTTTCTAAATGTCATGACGATAAACCTTTGAATCCTGAAACATAGTTATTCAACAGACTCTGGAACTTTGTATTGAGATCAAGTGATGCAGCGCCCTCTGCTGGCCGGTAGAAGCAATTCAATAACATGGTCCATAGTCTTTGCAATAATCTGCAGAGTTGAAGCGTTGCATCTCTAATACCAACACGTTTAACCATTTATGCAAAGTTTATGTAACTTTTTTTTTTTCCTTTTTTGTTTGACAAGGTAAAATTGGATTGTTTGGAATTTATTTTGATTTTTCTAGTAGGATAATCCATAGTTTAACATTTATAGGCCTGTAAATGTGTTTCATTTTCTTCATTTAAAGAGTTAGCAGTAACTTTCTTTGATTGACTGCTTTGTTTAAACAGAGAGAGCCTTCTTCTGGCAGATCCATTGATGTGTCTCTTCACAGCTCACTGATGCCCAGTTGCTTTCTCTCAGGACAGAGACTGCACAGTGACCGTCAGCAGCCTCTGCATTAAAGGAGCTGAGGAGAGAACATGATGTTTAGAGAAAGGCTGATAGATGTTATTATTCAAAGTGTTTAGTAACGTGTCTCTTACCTATCAGTCAGATCACTTCCATCCACCCACTTCCATTTCCCATCTTCAACTCTCAGACCAATCCAGAATCCTCTATTTCCAAAGCTGTTTTCCTCTATAGATCCAAACCGGATATCGGCTATAGAATCGGCTGTATTCATAGATGTCGTTCTGACAACAGAGAAACAGATATCAGGTATTTACACCGTATAAGTAAATAAGCACATCATGACCTAAAGACCCAAAGTGTGTTCAGAGCTACAAAAAAATACATTCACTTTTCATAATCGCATCATATGAATGGGTTTACCTTTTCATCTGAATTATATGCAACAGCCAAATCTGAATTCCTTCCTCTGCAGTCTCCTTGAGCTTCTTCCCAGGTTTTTTGATGAGGATACTGATCGTTAATATACGCATAGCAGCTGGGCTGAGTGAGTGACCAGCCCTTCTGACAAGGTTGACACTTATCATCTGAAACAACAGAGTCCAAACAATCAACATCAAGCCTGCCTTTTGAACATATTGTTATTATGACCTAATATAGGATCTGAACATACCGGCGTTTCCTAAGCAGTAGGAATCGATGCTCCACTGAGCTCGACTGATGCTGAGCTCATTCCAGTTTGTTGTCATGTTTTGTATTTTCTGTGTCAAGTTGTTTTCCCGTGTCTCCAGCTCCTGGATTCGTGAGTACAGCTCGGCATTGTTTCCTGAAAGTTCAGAGGTCACTACAGACACAGACAGAGGAAGGTGTTGGGCTGTAAGGCTTGTGTCTCTGAGTGTTTTGATGTTCTTGATAAACATTGAAGAAAGGGTTCACATGTTTGCTTCACAAAGCAACGAGCTACATGCATTTGGAAAGCGACTGGTCTCCTCTGTATTGTAGACTTCTTACAACAGCTCTGACATTTCAAACCACTGCCTTTTGCAAATGATGGAGAACACAAGCAGACACCTTCACACACACACACACACACACACACACACACACACACACACACACACACACACACACACACACACACTTCCCCCTTAACACACACACTTCCCCCTTCACACACACACTTCCCTTAACACACATTTCAGCCTCCTATTGCAGAATCTTGCAGCAAAGGAGAGGGAGATGTTGTTGGATCAACAGACGGAGTTACAGAGCTTCAGGTCACATCTAATACAAACTGTTGAACTGACTTTCACTCAGAAGATACTCACAGTAGATACGGAGACCCATGATGGCTAACAGTACGATCCAACACACTGCTATCAGAAGAACAAACCTCCGGCCTGAAAAACAATAATTCAGTTAAAAAACCTAAACAACATGACAGCCACAGATGCTTAGGATACATGTAGAACAAAAAGAGACAATTGAATATTCACACTTTAAACTTTCTTTACTCCCTTTTCTGAACACTGTGATTGCTACATAAATCCCATGTTGAGAATATTAAATGTGGATTGTTTTGTGTTCATGATGCACCTGGACGGGTTCTCTTTGAATCCACAGCGCCTCTTGAGGCATTAACAGAGTCATCTTCTTCTTCTTCAATTTCCTCTGAAAGATAAACACATCATTTATATGTGAGTGCAGTTTTACTCCCAGCATGTTGAGCATCCACGAGGAACCATTGAAACACTGAAAGGTGGATTTTGGGATTAAACCGATATTTAAAAACAGTAGCCGTTATGTAAGGGATCAGAAGCAGAAGTCAACAACGCACTTCTACATAGAGAGATAACAAATGTGTTGAGTCTTAATGTACGAGTAACGTTAAACTCCAGATATGAATCTAAAGCAGAACTAAAAACCACACACAGAGAATTGTTCGGTTCTCACGCTGACATTTTCTTTAAAATAACAAACAAATATCTTTCTGCTGAAACTAAATCCATTAGACAAACTAAAATCTGACTTTTTAGATTTTGTCGTAAGAAGATGTTGAGACATCGCCAGTTTCTTACTCAATTTATTCTGAGATCAACAAATGCATTGAATTTATAATTCTGTGTTTATCAGAGTTTGAAAATCACAATTTTAAAGATCAAATTTGAAATAAATGTTATTTTAAACCCTTTGTTGCTCAGATCTGGTCAAGAATCAGAAACACTATGAATAGGAACATTTTTAGACAATGTCTCGGTAAAAGGAAAAAGCAATGTTTTACACTCACTCACAAATTAGAATATATTGAATTACCCATTTCCTGCTGAGTTCTTCTGTTCATCCTGGAGGAGAGTCTGAAGTCCTGCTGCAGACCTGAGGCTGTCAGAGAGGGTCTGCTCTGATGTGACGCTCTTCAGTCGACTTCTGCTCTGAGGTTATGGTGTAACGTTTTAATGTACGTCAAGGTCAGACATGTTGCAACTTCTCCAATAGTTTTGCCCTTATTTGGCTTGATTTACGTACTGATAACTTTGACGAGCAACATGAGAGAAAACGACAAGGACAAACACTTTGTCTCTTTAGAAAGCCCTTCTGAAAAGCCCAGTGTGCTCTGATTGGCTTTCGGTAAAATTATGAATTTGTAGTAGTTGCAACATTTTTGATGTAGTTTACTTTACTGAGCATTTTCAATTTCCTGCTACTTTACACTTCCACTCCAATTATCAGATATATGTTATATTGTTATAATTGAGGAAGAAACTCACAAGATATCTAACAGTATAGCGTTTAAAAACGACTCAATCCTTCTGTTTCAGCTGCAACATTGAAGTGATTAATAAATGTTTCAGGGAAGTGACACAGAGACTTGGACTCATCTGCACGACTCCACACTAAAGTACAAGAAGACTAACTGAATGTGGCTCTTGAAACTGAAGATGTTAGCTTGGAAAACTCTGGCTCTCTTGACATTGTATGAAACAAGACGAACTGGCACAGGACAAAGGGACACGAGGAGTATTTATAGAAGAGTTAATGGGACACAGGCGGAAACAATCAAGGTTGAGGCCGACAATCACAGTGGCGGGAAAACACACAAATGGTGTGAAAGTCAAGAGCTCTGAAAAGAGACAGGTAAATAAAACAGGAAGTGCAATGACAGACGAGACAAGACATAAGTGTGATGACCTCTCCACACCACGGGGGGTCGATCCAGTGCTGTGGGGCCGGCATTTGCCTGATGAGCTGCACCTGGGTCGAGGAAGCCTACTTGAAGAGAGCCCAACCGGATTCGTCCCTCGCGCTCATTCCTCTGGCACTCTCTCTGTGCCAGCCTCGGGGGACCTATTGCTGGCTTCATTTGTTTAAATATAAATAAACTATTGTTATATTGCTGCACCTCGTCTCGACTCTAGGGTTTTTGTTGTGGGCCAGGAGCCGGGCCGTAACATAAGTGACAGTAAATGAACACGTTAACAACGAGACATGACTAAACCCTAACCCTAAACATGGGCTATGAACTAAACATGAAACCTTTAGGATAAACCTGATAACGAACACCTAAACGTGACGTTAGTAACAAGAACTAAACATGGCAAGATGAACAGGCTTAGCGTGATGTTACAGAATAAACACTAAGTATCTTTGCTTAACCCATAAGGACCCACCATGACAGGTGTCACATGACCTTTAAATGTTCTAGAAAGTTCCTTATACAGCTGTTGCCTTGTTTTTATCTCATGAGGTCCCTAAGGTCATTTGATGTTGTGTTACCATAACAACATGTCCAAGATGTCCATGTGCCAGGCTAACACATGGGACGGAACGAGCTACATTTCAAAAGCTTTTTGTCTGTTGCTAAAGGTAAAGTAGAATTAAAATGCTTACATAACATGTCCTTTATTACATTTAACCTCTTGTGGAAACATGTATTGATCAAATTGATATGAAACAAATGAGACAAACATCGCTGTGACACTGGTGTCACATCGGGACGTTAACCCTAAACTTTCACAGTGAACCCGGAGTGACATTATGCACAATTAGAAATATGATTATGATCTGCTCAGTTAATTTAGCTGATTCAATTATATTTAGTTAATATATTCTTTATTCTTCAAAGAATGTTCAAACTCATTTAAACCATCATCCTCATTAATAAGAGTTATTTTACCATGAAAGCCCAATGTGACATATATGTCACAGTTCAGATATTTGACACTAGGGGGGGTTACTTGTCAGAAATGTGTTCGATGGTCTGTTTAGTCTAAATGATGTTCCCCTTCATTTCCCGAAAGTAGAAATGTGTCCGGGTTCTTCTGGGTTAAGTTGAGGTGTCTGTTGCTACCGCTGGGCTTCTTGATGGTCAGAAACAGAACAGCCAAACATATTTTGACTTTACTGTAAAACCAGAAAAAAAGACTGGAGCTTCATTTGATAAAGATAAAATACCCAATATGATGCTTCCTCAGAGACCTCGACACCAATCCCACAACCCCAATGTGTGGCTGTCGATCAGCGTTTGTCACCTTAGTTTATTCAGTTTTTCATCCGATTCACCTCCACTTCCTGTCCCTCTCTGGAACTCTGCTGATGTTGATGTTGACAGAGTGACTGGATATTGAGGCCTGATCTCCTTCTATCTTATTCTCATCCAAATGGTTGCACCATGAATCAGATTGTTTCTCCAGACTTGATTAAAGCACTGATGTTTTCAAGAGAAACACAAAAACAACAATGTGTGGCAGCACATTTATTCACTGGTGACAACAGAGTGAAACAAGACATTGCTCATAGACACAAATACAGATAGATACAAATCATCCATAAACTGTGCGTCATCAGAATAGCATCAGGGACAGTTTCATCCCACTGGCCATCAGACTATTAAACACCTGAGCTTGCACTATTTCTATTTGTATAGTTGTTTTTTATATGTATTTCTTATGTCTTGTTAATTGCACTGTTAAGGAACCTGAGATCACATGTTTTATACATTACATAATCACACCGTAGTTTCTAAATGTCATGACGATAAACCTTTGAATCCTGAAAAATAGTTATTCAACAGACTGGAACAGTGTATTGAGAACAAGTGATGCAGCGCCCTCTGCTGGCCGGTAGAAGCAATACAATAACATGGTCCATAGTCTTTGCAATAATCTGCAGAGTTGAAGCGTTGCATCTCTAACACAATAGAATAACATTATTCACACTAAACAGTTTTAACTATTTTTAACCATCCATATCTAATAAAAACACCATCACATGTTAAAGAAATACATATTTGCATTAATTTAGCAAGCTCCATAGAAATTAAGTCAAACTGAAAGTACATCGATTTTAAAATAATCCACATTATGAGTTAACTTTTGTGTTTTATTGTTTTTATCCAGTTTGAGAAACGTTTCTGGAATTACTGTTTTTATCCTTTTTTTGTTTTATATTTTTGTTTGGAATTAGTTTTTATTCACAAGTAATTCATCTGTTTCTCAAAGAGTTTCCAGTAACCTTCTTAGTATGACTGCTTTGTTTAAACAGAGAGAGCCTTCTTCTGGCAGATCCATTGATGTTTCTCACCACAGCTCACTGATGACCATGTGTTTCTGCCCTTGAAAATCAATGCACAGCGACCGTCAGCAGGAGGATCTATCCAGGAGCTGAGGAGAGAACATGATGTTTAGATAAAGGCTGATACATTTTAGTATTCAAAGTGTTTAGTAACGTGTCTCTTGCCTTTCAGTCAGATCACTTCCATCCACCCACTTCCATTTCCCATCTTCAACTCTCAGACCAATCCAGAATCCATTAGATCCAAAGCTGTTTTTCTTGATTGCTTCCTGGAAGACAGAGAGAGAGTTGTCAGATATTTAAACATTAAACTGTAATAAACACATACTGACCTAAAGACCCAAAGTGTGTTCAAACCAACACAAAACACAATTACTTTCTAATTGCATCATATTAATGGGTTTACCTTTTCCTCTGAATTATGTGCAACAGCCAAATCTGAATTCTTTCCTCTGCAGTCTTCTTGAGCTTCTTCCCAGGTTTTTTGATTAGCAGGCTCAGCGTCATTATACGCATAGCAGCTGGGCTCAGTGAGTGTCCAACCCTTCTGACAAGGTTGACACTTATTATCTGAAACAACAGAGTCCAAACAATAAACAACATGCCTGCCTTTTGAACATATTGTTATTGTGACCTAATATAGAGGATCTGAACATACCGGTGTTTCCTAAGCAGTAGGAATCGATGTTCCACTGAGCTCGACTGATGCTGAGCTCATTCCAGTTTGTTGTCAGGTTTTGTATTTTCTGTTTCAAGTTCTTCTTCTGGTTCTCCAGCTCCTTGTTTTGTGTTGTCAGCTCCTGGACTTCTGCAGAAAGGTCTTTGACGTTTCTCTCTGAGACATTATAGGCTTGTGTCAGGTTGCCCAACTGGTCCTCCAGATTCTTGTTGTCCCTCGTCAAGTTTGCATTTTCTAAGCTGAGTTTTGTGTTGTTTGCCCGTAGAGATGAGTTTTCTTTTAACTCGTTCGGACCACTCTCATGAATTAATGTAACTGCAAAATGAAAATTAGCCTCTTAATCAAGGTGATCATGTTTGTCAATTTGCCTCTTTAGGAAACGTTATCCTGTCAGTCTCACTTTAGGTTTTCCGGTCTTTAGACTCAGACTAAAAATGTCTCAGTCCGTCTCAAAGTGTTCTGACTTCTCCAATCCTCAGACCCATTAATATTTCACATTGCCTGGAACTGCTTGTCACTGTGGTTTGAAGTCAACATTACTAAGAGAGGAGTGGAATGGGGAAGTCTTCAAGCCACACATTTTGTGAAATAGCAAGCGCTGGTGGGTAGAGAGAGTGGGATGAACTCAGAACTTCAGAGAGGCTCAGTAACATGAAAGACACATGACATGTGTTAATAGATTGACATTAGATAGACTTTCATTGTCGTTTGGGTCTGATCATGTGATTTGTTAAGAACAAGAGAAATATAGAATATGACTTGACTCATCTTTTAATTATTTGTATGCATGCTTGTCTGTATTTCCCACTAATGGAGCTGCAGGTATGTACAGTATAGGAAAGTCTCAAACTAATTAATGTATTCATCCACATGAACGGCTTCTTGATTGATAATGTTGCTTTGGGAAAACAAGCACAATACATTAATGGATGCTACCTCCATGTTGGCCTACAAAGATGCGTCATCATTGCACCACTCTGTAAGAGGAAGACGCTCATAATAATATTTTCTAAACTGTCATACTGTGGCATGGACATGACTGATATCAAATGGTGTAAACAGGTAAAACGGCTGCTACTATTCTTTACGGTTTGTCTCATGTCTAAGTGTGAGATAATGTACTTCCTGTTTTGTGTACTTACGGTAGACGCAGACTCCGATGATGCCACCCAGCAGAATGACACAGAGAATCCCCAAACAACAAGCCAAGTGCTGAAAGCGCCGACGTCCTGCTGAGTCTAAACAACACAAATTAATCACATTAACTTTCCAGATGAAGAGTGGTACCTTTCAAAGTTACAGTCTCCTTAGTACAGATATTGTGTCACTTTTCAACAAGGACAATATACAGTATGGTAAATGCAGATGGATCTTCTTTTTTATGAGAGTAAAAGGTAAAAGACAGGAAAGGATACCAAGTTGATTTGACTAACTCAGATGCTTGAACCTTATATTATTCAGTCAAACTTTGGAATACAGTTCAGAACAAAGGAGTGCATTTGGTCCCCTATCACTTACATTGTATGAGAAATGGCCTAAATGAACAAAAGGAGTGATATGGACAGCGAAAGATTGTTCACATATTTAAACAGGCACCTGACTGTTGTTAAAGGGCCGACTTAAAGAGTTGTGTTTAGAGAAACTGCTTCATGTACTTTGCTAAAAGTGTTCCAGTGAGAGTTACCGTAGGTCTTGAGTATTAGTCACTGTAACAGTATTGCAGCACAACACAAACGTTCAATCTCTAAATAACCGTTCGGAAGAGATTTCCTAAAAACGAGTCATTCACAGTTTTTAACACGTTAATAACGTTGCGGATAAACCCCCGTAAAAAGCAACAAAACCACTTGATAAAGTTCAGTAAAAGGCAGTGGTAGAATGTTACTGAATACATTTAATCAAACTGTACTTAAGTGCAAATTTGAGGTACTCTACTTTACTTGAGTATTTTCTTTTCATGCCACTGTATGATTTAACTCAACTACAATTCAAAGGTATCATATCGAATAGAATAGAATGGGAGGGATGAACCCCTCTTCAATGGTCACACATGCAGAGCACTCAGTGACATGTGTTCTCTGCTTTTAACCCATCCTAGTACCAGGAGTCTAGCACTAGGAGCAGTGGGCAGCTATTGCACAGCGCCCGGGGAGCAATGGGAGTGAGGGGGGAAGGGGGATGGCCGGTGCCTTGCTCAAGGGCACCACGGCAGGGCAGGAGGTGAACTGGGACCTCTCCAAGTAACAGTCCACACTCCATATTTAGGTCTGGTCGGGGACTTGAACCGGCAACCCTACGGCTCACAGTCCAAGTACTGACTGAGCCCTGCCGGACATATATCTTACTGCACTACATTTATAGTAAGTTAATAATTCAGATGCATTATTATTCCAAAAATATAATGTGTTGTTATAAATATGAACAACTGAAAAACTAGATATTAAAGAAACTTAATTGGCATCTGCACACATTTAAGTTTATTTTCTTTAATTAGAACCGTTTTTTGGGTGTTTTTTCTTTAATTTCGAACTTTTCTGTGTCGTGTACATTGATTACTTTAAGTACAGTTTGCTGTTTATACTTACTTTTGTCACAGTCTGCTCCATCTTTCACCAGTAGTTTTCCATTCACCTGTCTCACCTGTTAACCACACCCACGTTTTTGCTCACTCTCTTTCTCTTCTGCTTCCATTAGCTTTTCTGCCAGTATTTAAACCCTCACCCGACACACACCCGTTGCCAGATCGACTTTGCCTTCATGCTAGTCTTTCACACGTTTGTTACCAGATTGCCTACCCGGTCCCCGACCTGCCTGCTCTGCCTGATCCCTGATCCCTGACCCTGCCTTTACCTACGTTCGACCGCCTCACCTGCTGTCTGACCCTCTACCCGGTCCCTGACCTGCCTGATCCCTGTCCTTGGACTATCTTGCCTCGCCTGCTCTCTGACCCTCTGCCCGGCCCTGACTCACCTTCTGCCCGCTGACCTCTGGTTCGTTCGCCTGCACATCATCCGGCTGATACTGCTGTGCTGGTATCCCTATGCGCTGGTATTATTACCAATAAAGTACATTACCAATACTCCTAAAGACTGGTGCATACTCTGATTATAACCTTATTTTTGATATGTCAAAAACAAACGGGAGAAAAGACAATGCAGCTTTCCACCATCATTTTTTAATAAGACCAGAATGCCCCGTCTGCAAGACGTTAACATTTGTCACACTGCACACTCCCAATATGTTACGGCTTTGTTAGAGTGCTAGGGTTACTGACAAAGCACTACAGATATAAACTTTAGAACAGTTCTTGTGAACTTGTTCCCTTTTAATGATAGTTATGGTAAAGTAGTGGTAGCAGTGGTAGCAGTAGTACTCCCAGTTGCAGTAACACCTGAATGCTTTTTTTTAATACAACTTACCCTCGTTCTTTGTTTCGTTCTGCACCTTCAGCTCACCGTACACAGTTTCCTCCCCTCTTTTTGCTGAAAGGTCAAAGGAAATGCACATGCTCAGGGTTTTTAGAGAATAAATGAGAAGCACTTTTAAAGGCTGCTTTAAGTGTTTGATATAGCAGAAAAATTGCCTTAGAATGATGCAAAAATTCACAGTTTTCCCTCAAAGTGCAATAAAATGGGCAAATTCAAAATGATGAGATTGTCTTCAGGTATTGTATCACGCCGTTTAAAAATGGAAACGATATGATACGGGAAATTCAACAGATAATTATCTCACTTCGCAATTTCCTCACTGGTTTTAAATAGATGTGTTCGTGATGATATATCTCCAGTGAGACGCTAAATTAAAATACCCAACAAATGACCATCAGTTTGAATCTTTTTAAGAGTTAAAGAAATATTAATTGAAGTTAAACTGAAATAGGATGAGGCGTTCAAAGGTTTCAAACTACTCTAGATTTAAAAGTGTTTTCTCAACGTAGTACACATGAACAAAAATTTCTACCAAAAATGTGCATTGATGAACCAAGAAAACTCATATTATTAAAACCTAGATGCACGAGGATACGTTTTCTTGGTTCATTTGTAGTGAAAAGTTTATACTCAACATTGTGAATTTGAAAAACATCAATGCAAATGTGCTGGGTTAGTTGAAAATCTAATCTTCACCCACACTAAACAAATACAAAAACAGCCTTTTAACAATTTCACTAAAAAGAAAAGGAAAATTATTTGCAGATTTTTCACGTTTCTGGTTTCACAGTTAAATTACAGGACATTAAAAACAGCAACTTACTTTGGATTGATATTCAACATTGCATTGAACATATTAACAAAGAGGCTCTGTTTCAAAATCATCTGCAGGAAGTGAAAGTTGTTAAATAACTAAACGTACCCGCAGGTGGAGGATTGTTGCCGGCTTTGAACACAACCGAAGCGTAGTTCACCTCCTCCTCTTCCTCCGCCATTACTACAGCCGCTCTGTTGAGCCCTCTCTGACTCGTAGACAGAGAAGTCTCTGGACATCGAAGTAGGATAACTGGTTGTTTCCTCTCTTCTGTTGAAGTCTATCTCTCAGCCTTCAAACTAACCACTTCTGCTTTTGGTCAAGAAGTTCATTTGCATCGCTTCACGTGACTGAACATCGACCATAGTCATAAATAGTGTGTTCTTGTTTTTTGTCAATGTGCCTCTTTTGGAAGATGTTTCTTGTCCGTCTCTCTTCAGGTTTCAAGAAATACCCCAAAAAAAGACTGGAGCCAAAAATGTCTTTTTTTTTTAGTTTTCCAATTCTCCGACCCCAGACCTTTAGTTCCTACTGAGGACTTCGCCTAAAACCGAATTTCACTGTAGTTTTAGGTCAACTTTACTTAGTAAATGAGTGACATGGGGAAGTTTAGTGTTTCTGCAGTCAGATTGGTATTTCAGTAAAGATAGAGGTAACTACAGTTACAGAGAGAGGAAGGTTTTGGGCTTTGTGTGCCTTTCTGTGGTTACATGGTTAAAATAGACACTTGAGAACGGGTTCACAGGTTTGAAGCAATACATCGACACAAACACCTTCACAAAAGAAGTTGCAGTTATGCATAATTTCAGAAGCAAAAATCAACAATGTATTTCTACACAGAATGGGTGAGGGAATGCTCCGGTTTTGGGACAAAATGAACATGGGATCACTCCGGTCATTGTACGTACTTCGTCTCACTGGAATATTAATGGTCAGATTGAATACAACATCGACCCAATTTCTCCGGTCAATGACGGGAGAGTTTTGAAAGTGACAAAACACTGTTTCACACATTTAAAAACACTTAAACAATTAAACAATGTTTATCCAGGATTCAGGCACCTTCCCTGGCTTGTAAAATGCGGTGATGCGCCCTGGAGGTATCCGACTATTTAAAACATGTATACCCAGGATTCAATCACTTTTCCTGGCTTGTAAAGTGCTGTGAAGCAGTCTGTTCTCTGGGTGCAGTCTGAGTGCAAGAGCCATGCGCTGCAAGGATCTCTCTGGGTGCGCTCTGTGAGTCTCACACCCCGCTTCTCTCTGGCTGCTCTCTCCCTCTATTCACAGCACTTTCCCCCAGCTTTCAAATCCTTATTGCTGGGTAGAAGAGCCTTGTGCATCACCCTGGATCTCTGTGAGTGTGAGACCCTGCTAACAGCAGTGAACCTGCTGCCAGCATTACGAACATATTAATCAGGCGTTTTAACACTTTTTTCCATGAAAATGATTTTTATTCACTATCATGGGGTAATATAAATCAAATTCCGGGTAATTCGGATCACAATTGTACCTTTTACTATTTAAATGTATTTGTATTATATATTTTTGGGCTATAAAAGTGACATTTCTGGGTGACTTTGTCAGTTTATGGAGCTTAGCCCACAATTCCTGGAGGTTGCAGGCCGAAGTTGGGAGCTCATAGGTGCCCCCACCCGTGGAAAGATGAAAAAAGTAAAGAAAACGGTAAATTATATCTTAAAATATTCAAAAATGAAGTTTAAAAAAATTCTCGAAAAAACGACTGAGTGCCAACGGAGGAGGGGCTCAAAAAAGCTCAAGTCTTCGGCGCTTCCGGCCGAAGCCACGGACACGTTCCCACTCCCCCGTTGCATTTTACAACGGAGAGGGGAATTGAGGCCTCCCCTCCTCCGTCAAAAAAATGCATTCATCATTTTCAAGCTACCATCTGCACGAAATCGGAAACCCGGTTTTTAAGAGGACTCAGAAAAAAAACGGCTGTGTCAGTTCATGGAGGAATGTGTCCGCTCCATCTGTCCTCTGGCTCGGATACAATTGTTGCATGGAGACCCCCCAGCATGGTTCTTACCAAACTTTAAGTTTTTGAACTGGTCTCTGGGAGTTGTCAGGGAACTCTATGAGACACTATTTTCGGATACTTTTTTCCATTTTCACCCCTTTTCTATGGTTCTCCCAAAAGTTAACTTAGAGTTTTTCTGACTGGAGGAATGTGAGGAGAGTTGTCAGGGGACTCTACCCGCCTTATGGGACACTATTTTCGGATACTTTGTTTCCATTTTCACCCCTTTTCTCTGGTTCTCCGAAAAGTTAAGTCAGACTTTTTCCGACTCTGGAGGAATGTGAGGAGAGTTGTCAGGGGACTCTACCCGGGTTATGAGGCACTATTTTCAGATACTTTTTTTCATTTTCAGCCCTTTTCCATGGATGAATTGAAACTTATTTATTTTACATTTTGGTCAATTTGACCCAGTTCTGGGATAGGACCGAGAGATGACAGACTCTCTGGCCGCCTCACAAGTCACTATTGTCGGACACTTTCTTTGCTTTACCCCGGTTATATCACTCTTTCCTCCTTTGACCATAACACGTGTTTCCTGCTGGAGTACTGCCTGGTTCCGGGGCACCCCAAACCCTCTCATGGTCGGGGCACCATGAATTGATGCATCGGACCAAATGTTGCCATCACCAGCCCTGCGTTGGTGCGGAGGTGGGACCATTTAACCCGGTGGTAACCCAAGTCCTCCCTTGGTCCGTGTACCAGGCATTGAAGCATCGGACCCATTGTTGCAATCATCGGTTACACTAACGCATATAAACAGAGAAACAGAAAATAATTTAAATACAATTCACTGTGTCTGTTTTAGTAAGGATGTCATCCGAATGCCCGGTGTGAAGACTCTTCTATCTGGCTTTGAACAAGCACCTTAATGAGCCTGTGACACGAGTTTCCCCCATCATCCAAACCCATCAATTTGAGTAAATATTGTCCCCTTGAAAACCGTTACTGAACTGATTTTGGATATTTGTACTTTGATAACCATTAATCTGCCCTTCAATGTTGACCATTTTCTGGATCTTCTCGGGGATTCTTCAAGTCCCGCCAAATGATGTGTGACGTCATTGCGGGCGCAGCGCTCCAGCTGCACGGTTCAGGATCCCAGCATCTGCATGCAAACGCACGATGGCGCACACAGCAGCAAGCTCAGACAGCGATGACAGTTTAATTTTGAACGTGTCTGAGAGCTCATATGAGGCTGAAGGATCGGTTTATGTTGAATCTATTAGAAGTTTAGGAATGAGGTGCGTCAATATGGGCGATAATACGGTCATGTAGCCAGTGGTGGACTGGGACTAAAAATCATCTGGGACTCTCGACCTGATAAAATCCTGGTAAAATCCAAATATAATGTATAATGTCTGTGTCTTTGACATTAGCGCTGCTAGCCACCTGTGCCCTGTACTACGAAGCCAGTTCAACATACCCTGGATATGTTTGAGTAACAAACAAACTAACAACAACAAACTAACAAACGAGATCTCGCTAAGCGGTCCTACGACGCTGGTTATCAACTCGGTAAATCAAGCCAGGGTTTCTCTCACCAGCTGAGAGCGCGTTCACGTCTAAAACACGAGTGGATCTGACTTTAATTACATTTGACTCGAGTGTTTCGTCAACATAATGTGTTGCTTAAAATAATACTTCTGCATACAGTATGTGACACTGTGAGTGTTGCACGGCCAGATACGGCTGGAGAAGCTGACTCAGATAAGGAAATATATGATATATTATGATATTATATGATCGATGATCTGATTGATGATGTAATATGAATGATAAGTGCGACACGTCGGCGTCTTCTCTGCATACGGCAGTTTAAACTGTATTTCCTTTATCCTGTAATATGACTTGAGAGATTTAAACTCCGCACACTGAGTTGATCTCTTTTCTATAGACGCCGGAGGCGGGCAGCGTCAGGTAAAAAAAGTGATTTAGCCTTCCCAAACCTGAGCCTCACGCGCCGCCTATGGGGGATGTGCTAGTGACTTATCCGACCGGCCCACTTGGGTACCGGTCCATCGGGATTCGTCCCGATGGCCAGTCCGCCACTGCACCCAGCCCACGTAAACTGTCAACGGGGGGAGCCTCGCTGCGGGGAAACGGTGGACCTAGTGTCCCGATCGGAGTGGGAATAATAATAATAATAATCCGTGCATTTTATCCATTAATTTCCCCAACATTGTGGTAAAAAAACCACAATGTTGGATCCATGTTGGTGTACAACTACAAAAAGCATCGGTTTGTTTACTCATCAGGAAATGCAGACCGGCACAAACAAACGATTTTTAATCATCATTCTCACGATCATTTAATCTATCATATGTTCGCCGAATTGACATGAAAGCACTAATACATGTAGTTTCATCCACTTGAGTTTACAACTACAAAAATAATCGATTTGTTTTTATATCACATCCTACGGGAGGAAATTCAGTAGCTCTCACTACCGATTTTTAATCCTAATGTAATCATCATCTTCACCACGATCATTTATGTTTATGTTCGCCGAATTGATATGAAAGCACTGACAAATATGAATATACTGTAGTCAACTTCATTAAAACGTTATTAACGTGCCTAAACTCAGTAATTCACCCTTTCTACGCACAACACACTTTGTCCGTGTTTGGCTCTCTCGCCGCACAGTGAAGCGTTCCCGCATTGACGTCACTTCCGGCTTCCCCCAAAACTTCAAAATGAGTCGAAGGAATTTCCCCGCGATGTTCGAAATGATTGATATTTAACGGAACGGTATCGCTTTTTCTTTTTTAAACTGACGGTTCGAGATTACTAGTAGCCCAATATTTCATTGCACAACAGTTGTTGGGAGGCTGTCACAGGCTCTTTAAGCACAAACATGCAGTGCGGAACTTGGAGGAAAGAGGCATCATTCTGAAAATGGCCAGTGGCAGAATAAATGTTCGGACCAAACCCTGTCCCATCACAGGGTGTTCGTATGCTGGGAAGAGACTGTCATGTAACTCATGACCACCCTGAGTTCTCCCGAGATGAGGCACATCAGGTCATGGCAAGGGTGAAGCATAGTGTGTGGCCCTGCAGTTGCTCCATGACCTCCGAGAGACTAATCCCATCATTGGAATGGCTACATCATTGGATATAGACAATGAGGAGGAATACCCGGTGCACCCTCCACCCTTCTCCCCACATACCGAGTGTGACGAAGAGGACTGCAGGCAGGTGATGCTGGAAAAT